TGGAGCGGCCCGCAGGCCCACATATGCACTAACCAGGTTGATTCGGCACTTCTTGCAGGAGCTTATCTAATTGCTTCTTAAAGAAGTCCACGTAGACGCCTCAATGACACTATTAACCGAGCACGTCCTTTGCATGTAGTACAACATTCTGTCTTTCGACTAATTTAATCATTTCAGAGAAAATTCTGTCAACCTATTATTTAAGACCCATTCTATATTCTAATGCTCTCATTCACGGTAAGCCTTAACTCACTTAACTTCCTTACTTCTCGCAGGGTCCTGGATCATACCCTGATGATGGTTGCTAATCCGACCTAATAACTATGTTTTTGTAACACTCGAATCACAATAGTCTGACTAGCCTCGTGGGGCTGGGGGGTTAAAAGCCATACATAAATGTTAAAGGTGTTTTACTAGTAGGGATCACTGGCGAGCATCTGTGATGGAGCTGTGGTGGGAGCAAAACCACACTGGTGCCTTGCCAAATTAATATATGTCCGTGACTCAGACAGGATACTGGCCCTTGCTGGTTGCTCACTGCCACAACACAAGTGCTTTCCCAGCTCATCAGTATTAATTGATATGACATCCCGTGCCTCACCAACTTCCTCACTTGGTTCTCATTAATTATTTGAGCACGAAGATTAAATTCTAGTTAAGAAAAACGTATGTCCCTGGCCCAAGTCGAAGATTTTTACCCCCCCCCCCAATTTAATTGTAGGTTAAAAACTACAAAATCACAGGTCAACAGCAGACACCAATACGTAGCCATTAATGACAAAACTAATCTTCCTATAACATTGGCGTCCATTCCCTAGGCACCAAATTTGATCCTCTTCTCTTCCTCAAGCTGTTACAGAACATCCTACCCAAAACCTCAAACCAATACTGTACTATTTTTGTCTATCATTACCTTCAGCTTTTTAAGCGCAAACCAAACACCTTAAATAAAAGAGTAAACAATGATCTAGCAACATACAAGAAAGCCGTCTTACAATGATATTAAAACAAGCCAGCCAACCAATTAGATATTAGAATAAACACTACAAATTAAAACAAAAATTAAAGAAAAAATTTTGTTTTTTCATAATGAGCTAGGATATAACCTCGTCCACCTCAAAGACGCATTCATAAATGTCTATATTCCCCGTTATAAACTAAGGAATTTTCTCAAATATAAATTATTACAATTGTACAGTTAGACCAAAGTTAGGTTAAGTTGTGTTAGATGTTTTCGAGTGGCAATAGGTCAATTTCAGTTGGTCTAGTCCCATCATGTCCTTTCCATTATTCGATATTATATTTATGCTTCTTAATCTACTAAGCTAGTATACGTATCGTTTCATCACGATTAGTAAGAAATATAACGAACTAAATGATAAACTCGACTAAATATACCGTTTTACTACATACACTAGGCGATGTGCACAGTGTTTAAATTGTCAGCCAGCGAAAGACGGCACCTTGGTGGCAGCGTGTCAAAAAGCCTGGCGAACTTTGGTAAACAAATGACTTCATCTTTAAGCCTGCACAACACTGCAAGGTTGCAGACTCAATCTATCACGATTGAATATTGAACAATAACTGCATCTATCCTTCACACCTTATAATTATAATATCAGCTAGTTTCATACAACGTTCTATTTCAATAGCTATATATTCACAGTTAATCATTATACAGTAATGGTAAGTCTTAACGCTAATACGTATTTGTTTAAGCTATGGAGATATTACAGTCGTAGGGGAGCTGCTGTTTGTTATTATTAGTCTTCACAATATACTGGTTCTTACTCTCATATGTTGTTTTCTACTGGAAGCGAAATGTGAACACAGTGCAGTAATGAATCGCTTTACTAAACCCACTAGACTACAGAGACATGTAACACGTTAAACCCATTACACATTAGTATTTTGAGGATATGCGATTTCAAATAGACATCTATCTTTAAACCAATCCGATATATAGATCAGGTTTTCACATGGACACGGACTCTGGCAAAGGAGAACGGAGGGAAGGGGCCTTTGACTTAGTCATAAATGAAGTAGAACGGTCGAATTTCCAGGTAAGCTTCACTCTTTGGCTTCAAGAGAAACAGATTAAGATGCAGAGAATTCGGGCAAACATCTGTGGTGAATCCCAGATGGTCAAGTATCAAAACAAAAGAAGCATAATAACACCGCATAAATTTAAGCTTAAGGATATTGAAAAGTTAAATCACGTAAATTATGCATTATATGAAAGGTATAATGTGAGCGCAATGAAGCCTAATACTTGTGTAGAGTAAATGTAAAAAATGTTAATAATACAGTCGTGGTGCTGCTATCCATTCTCAATACAATTTTGCCATAGATTATAGAATACATATACAAAATGACATTTATTTGAAGGCTATATATGTTAAACATGTCAATGTGTACAAAACCTCCATACAAAGTTCCGTACAATAACTTTGTGACAACAGTTCCGCTTGAACATATCAAATATGCTTAAAGCCAGCTCAGGTTAAGGTTTAACTTCTATAACCGGTCAAGATGATAATGTAAACACAGAGTATATATATATAGAGGTGTATTTCACTGTGCATACACTGTGAATCATTTTGAAAAAAGCATAAATTGCATATGAGTGATGTGCCAAACCTTTGAGTCATTAGACATCAAAGCAGCGGGACTGAAGGCGGTCGTATACCAGTGTTGGGTGAGCTCACCACCAGTGTGGAGGTGGTGACGATAGCACCAGTGTGGTGTGGTTGAAATATCACTTGAGTGTTTCAAGCGTAGGTTAGACATACATATACATATACCTGTATATATAATAATAATGAACAGTAAACAAGTGTATGATATTCTACTCCCAAATATAGCTCCTTGAGTAGAGGAGGCAGATCCACTCTTTAGCTGGCAGGCAATATGGGCAACCCTTCATGTTAAATTTATTGACCCAAAACAACGTGAGCTATTGTATCGCTATATTCATGAGATCCTCCCTATTAATGATAGGTTGTTGATGTTGGGCATTAAGGACAACAATAGGTGTGACCAGTGTACTGAAATTGAGAATACTATGCATATACTTTATTTCTGTAAGCAGAAAGTTGTTCTTGTAAACTGGATTAGAGACGCTCTTAAAGCTTTATGTGGACCAAGTATTAGAGTGGAGTTAATGAGGATTTTAATGTTTCATATTGACATAAAATGCAAGAAAATTAAGAATACAATAATTATGCTACTTTCTGATTACATTTTTGTGTGTGTATAGACAGGCAGGAGTGTTACTCAGTAGACAAAATTATGAAGTTCTTGCGAGGCAAGATCAGGTATAACATTTGGGGTTTACGGCTCATGCTCGGTGATGGTATGGAAACTTTGTTTACTGAGAATTATATATATAAATATAATAATTTCCCATGTAAATTAATGTAAATATAATCTCTAAAATTGTAAATCATTTAAAGAAAAATAAGTATAACATTTGGGGTTTAAAGATCATGCTCTGTGATAATAAGAAACACTTGTTTACTGAGAATTATACTATTATATATGTAAAAAGGTATTGCCTTGTAAAAATGTATTTTTTATGTATAAAAATGTATATAAAATGTATATATTTGCCTTGTAAAATGTATGTATATATAATTTATAATGTATTTCATTAAATAAAGATAAAAAAATAAGCCGTTTGCAGTTACCTTGATTCTTATAGTCTCATATTTCACTAGAGGATGGGGCAAAGTTCCGCTTTAACGCCATTTATTTAATGGCGTAATTTCCTCGCAATTGAATGTCTTAACTCACAAATTATGGTACGATGGCTGACGGAAAACAGAGTGTGAGGGCAAAGAGGGACGGACAGTGTTTGTGCATAGCTGGTGTTATAAGTGTAGCGCGTGTCTGGGAACATCCAGTGCATAGGTTCGAACCCTCATTAAAGGCCCTTGTGGATTTGTTCAGGTGTTGGAAGGGAAGTGGGCAGTAAATATCCTCTGCACATATTCGGGATCGTTACTTATACTCTGCCATACATGGGGCTGATATTGTGCAACATTAACCCAGCTTTTAATGTGTGTTATCCTAGACTAGCATGTGCAAGTATTATTCGTAAGCATTACTCGTATCTAGCATGTGTAAGTATTATCCAGGTGTGTATTATATTAAATGAGTATTAGTATTTTCCCTATCTAATATATACGAGTATTATTACACTCTAGTAAGTTCAAATGCTTTAAAAGTACTACCTTCTTATTCAGTTTATTATCTTATTATTATTTCGCTATTTTCCTTGCCATCTACAGTATAGTTGATATGTTTTATATTATGTTAAAATGTTATACCTGTCTTTTAACATCTGTGGTTGGTACCCACCCCGGAATACATAGTCTACCTGTGAGACTCAATGTCTCACACTGATTGTGAAAATCAGGGTGATTTTCACACTGATTTTATGATTGACACTCACATTATGATTGAAAACTCATAATGGTCTCCAATGGATACCTATATGCCCACTCTGACAGTTATTACATTGAACGTACTTTAATATGATTTGATTTTTGCATTTATTGAAAACTTTATGAAAGTGTTCTGTATATCCGTATATTACAGAACTGTATTCTTCGACTTCCAGGGCATCTAAGACTATGGTTAACAGACTGAAAACAGAACCTTAAATGGCGTCAAGTTGAAGAGGACAACTGAACCCGACCTCTTATTCATAAACATATTAATGATGCAGATGCTGGAGTAGATAATAATCCAAGTATATTTAGGAACGATACTAAAACAGGACGCATTCAAAATTCAACGGGGCACTGAACGAGTGCACGAAGATCTCGCACAGTGATAAACGAATATAATTTAATGGCTTACAACTATGAATAAATTTTAAAGGGAGTAGAAATAGCCTAAGCTGCTCTATTCCTTTGAGATGTATTTTTTTTCTTGTCTCAATAAACATACTTGAACTTGAATATAGTTTGCAAAGGCATCACAAAGTTACTCACCTTAAAACTAGGCTCGAAGAGGTCGATAATCTCCTCGTTGTAAAGCTCCATAAAGTGAGCGGTGACCTTGAAGTCTGGGGGCGGCGTGTCGGACTCTTGGGCCGCGGCTCTGCGCTCCTCGATGCCCCTGAAGAGGTGATGGACGGCGCGCGGGATGATGCCCACTACGTCCTCCCCATTGTCAACCTCCAGCCCCGTGCCCATCGTGTATGTCTTACCCGACCCCGTCTAAACCAACACATGGCATTAGTGGTTTGATTTGTACTTTAGTATAGGCATATTATCTGCATGCAATACACAAATGAGATATGCACAGTAGGCCTACTGTAACAACTATTAGTTACAAAATGTGTGTGGATGGTTCGAATGCATTTGTATGACACTGACCTGACCATATGCGAGGACTGTGGCGTTATATCCCTCGAAGCATCCCTCGACGAGCCCCTCGACGCAGGTGGTGTACACCTGGCTCTGGTTGGTGCCCATGTCGAAGACATAGTCGTATGTGAAGGCCTTGTCGGAGCCTAGCCACACCTGTGGCTCCCCCGGCGTCACACTGGTACACACCCGACACATCTCTATCAGCTCCCGGGCTATCTGAGGCCGAATCCTGTACAGAAAGTAAACAGTAGTATCAGTTAGTGAAGCCACACAATATTGGGTAACAAATATTACAATTTGCATGCTGTACTGTTAATGTTCCGATAAATATTATCACACAAGCTTTATAACTTTACAACATAGCTGGTCATGTAATGAATCTATCAATCGCTTATAAATTAGACGTTTAGTAAAAAAAAAAAAAAAAAAAAAAAAAACATTAATTTTAACGCTTTCTATCCATAGGCTTCGGTAGGATTGGCGAGGTTCATTCGTTTCTGGTTAGGCTAAATTGTTACTTTTTTACAGAGTAGCAAATTAAGAAAACGGACTGACTACTCCCCCATCCCCTTTCCCTCCCTCCCAGCCAAAGACCCCTGACTTAAGGGACCTGGAGTAGGGGAGGTGAAGAGCCAGACACCTCCATGGTCGCCGGCGGCACCACATCGATCCTCTACTGTCGCGCCCACTGTGGCCACTGCGTAGGCAAGGGTGGTGCCGCCTCCACCACCACTTTTAATAATTGAGTAATACCTTATGTCACCTCGGCCAACAAAACAAAAAGAGGCAGAGGTAATTATGTTGCTTCCACTAATTAGATATAGATTTGGTTAAGCTTGCTGACAAATCGGATTACCACCAGTAATAAACAAATATCAACTAGGTTAACAAGGTATATAAACAACCTATTATGCAAGAACGGACATTACTATTGCCAGGAACGAGCATATAAATATTCAGCCCGTCTTCTTGAGTTGCCATAACGGACAGAATATGGCGTACTATAGATTGAACCTATAGTATCGACCACGCATAGAAAACGTGAATGTTTGTATACAGCTATGATTTATAGAACCCGTTTATTTGTCCGTTCGGGATTTTGACGTCAAAATGCGATGTGAGAAGACGGCGTTGATTACTAGCTTTCGGAAATTTTAAGCAAGTTATGTTGTCCAGTCCTGTCGACGAAAGTCAGCTGTGTTACCTGGAGCATAACTGGAGAAGGTTCTGAGAATTCTACTCCCCGAGCTCGGCCTACTTCTGACAACAGGGTGTTTCTTGGAGCGACCAAAAGCCCACATATCCACTACAGCTTGGTTGATCGGGCACTACTTGCAAGAACTTATCTAAGTGCCTCTTGAATACATTAACCTTTGTTACTTCAATATTTCTAATACTTGCTGGGAAGGTGTTGAACAGCTGTGGACCTCTGATGTTCAGACAGTGCTCCATGATTGTGTCTGGCAGCTCTTCATTGGTTCTATTCTGCATTTCCTTCCGTATCTTTTGTTCCACTATGTTGTTATTCTACTGGGCACATTTGGGCCCTAGCCTTCAAGTATCTTCCATGTACATATTATTTTATAACTTTCTCGTCTCCTTTCCAAAGAGTACATTTTGAGAGGAATGAGACGGTCCCAATAATTTAGACGTTTTATCGTTTCTATGCGTGCCGTTTATGTTCTCTGTACGGCAATTCTCAAAACTCTTATTTGTACTTAAATTCCGGCAGAGAATTCCAACCCGATACTATACTTCTCCTTTATTGCGTAAAGCCGAGAAGATAAAAGTGCAAGTCTGATATCACTAATAGTCAACATTACTATACAGTAGAAGCACAAAACACATCACAACGTTGACTAATACATGTTTTGAATATCTACTCCGAGGATCAGCCTGGTACAACTAACGCTGTACCAGGCTGTGACTCATACGTCAGGCTGCGAGCAGTCACGTCCAACAGCCTGGTTAACCAGTCCCGCAAAGAGGAGCCTTTGTCGACAACAGGCCGCGGGGACGCTAAGCTCTGAAATCATCTCAAGGTAAGGTAGGGTAACCAAATACAATTTATGTTTGGAGCAATATACAGATATAAGTAATTTCCCAAGTACAGTTATATATATATATATATATATATATATATATATATATATATATATATATATATATATATATATATATATATATATATATAATGTACCTAGTAGCCAGAACGCATTTCTCTGCCTACTATGCAAGGCCCGATTTGCCTAATAAGCCAAGTTTTCATGAATTAATTGTTTTTCGACTACCTAACCTAACCGAACCTAACTTTTTCGGCTACCTAACCTAACCTATAAAGATAGGTTAGCTTAGGTTAGGTAGGGTTGGTTAGGTTCGGTCATATATCTACGTTAATTTTAACTCCAACAAAAAAAAATTGACCTCATACATAATGAAATGGGTAGCTTTATCATTTCATAAGAAAAAAATTGAGAAAATATATTAATTCAGGAAACTTGGCTTATTAGGCAAATCGGGCCTTGCATAGTAGGCCGAGAAGTGCGTTCTGGCTACTAGGTACGATATATATATATATATATATATATATATATATATATATATATATATATATATATATATATATATATATATATATATATATATATATATATATATAAAGTTCTCTTCAGACAACATAAAAAGCACTTCAATGGAAGTCATGCAACATTTCTTCTTGCGAGAGGAAGCAAAGAGCCCCTCGAGGGATCCCCACTCACATCTCTGGACACAAGTTTACCTCCGCCAGCACTTACTGTCGGGAACTCCAGCTGTAAAAACTTGCCTTCCAGCAATAGCCACTAAGCTCAAACTGCATGACCACCAGGCTCTCCCAAGCCTAGCGCCCTCCCCTCAGGGCTGGCTACGCCCGTGAAAGACCATAGCTACTGTCAGTCATGCAAACTTCGGACTGTATTTCATCCAATTTAAAATTGTAGAATGAAGTTAAGAAAACCCGCCTCGACCAACTTTATGCTGGTTTACCCATGTCTGGCTTCGGGAGTTCTTACACACACAAGCAGCCCGGTCTAATGCCAGGCGTTTTGAGGCCTTGATTGCTAGCCCTGTTGCTGGCCGCGGGTTGCAGGCCCACAAAGCCAACACAACCCTTCTGATGCAGTACTTCTGGTAGTTACCTGACTGATTCATCAGTACTTCTGGTAGTATCGTCAGCAAAGCACTGTTCGAGAAATATTCGAACGTCATCAGCTGCGAGTCGTGTGTAAGGAAAGCGTTTTTCATTCATATGGAGGAAGGGTGGGAGGGGTTGGCGGCTGCATGGAATGAACATTTGGTCTTTGACGAGCAGAAAAATAAGGGCGGGCAGCCATGATTAAGATCGTTATTATGAGGTAAGGGCAATCATTACACAAGTACAAATGAGGTATAAATGAGTATAAATGACAGCATGGAAGTTGAGTTACGGGCTCACTATAACCCGTGCTACGAAGACATTTTGTTCTGAGTAGCTAACTCTAAACCAACAACAACATGGAAGTAGAGGCGGTGGTGCACCTGTGCTCACCTTGTAGCCACACCCTCCGCCGGCACTCGCTACCATTCCGATAATTATATAACATGCACAACTCATCCACATGTGGGCAGAGCAACATAACCAGTAATTTAATTTTACAATAAATCACGAATAGGCTATTTGATCTTTAACACAGAACATATTGAGCAAATAATTTATCAGACACTGCAATAAAGAGAACATTAGCGCTGCACGAACACAACATTCCCGAATCTATGCGTTAGGCTAACAAATCTTGACTCAACATCAGTTATCAATGGGAACAAATCACAAAGTTTGAATGTAACGAGTCGGTGCTCTAATAAGAAAACAGCTACACCAGCAGGGTCAGAAAAACACACACATGAAGGAAATGGTCGGGAAGCAACAATAGGTCAAATTCAACGTATGCCAAGGGAAGCCATGTGCGCGGCTCTGTAAAGTAAACACAACATCTTCCCTCCTATCTTCCTCGTCTCGATAACGCCTGATTAGTTTGTCTGAATAAATATCTATCATTTGAAGAGCAATGAGATTTACACCCGCGAACATGCTTTGAATCCTAATATAGAGAAGCAGCCTAAATGCAACTGAGGAAGCCTGCCTGCCTTCCTTGTGTGCGCACGCATATATTGGCCTCTGCCCCCCCCCTCCCCAAACAAAAAGACTGCATGCCTACCTTCCTCTATCCCGCCTCCCACCCCCTCACTCACACTCGCTCGCTCGCTTGCTCACTCGCTCTCACACACAACTAACGTTCCACAACTAGGTAAGTACACACACACTGGTGTGTCAGGTGTTGAGGAAGCAGGTGGAGGGGAGGCGGTCAGTCAGCGGGCACCTTCCTACCTACCTAACAGGTGACCAGTAGTACGCGACCTTGCCCACCGCCCTTGCCTGTCTGCCAGTGGCACCGTGCACCGCAACCCTGCCGCTGCCTCGCACTCTGAACACTCAACATTTAGCATGATGGTCAAACACAACTCGCCCCTAGTCTTGCACTCTTATTGCCCACGTCTTCAGATACACAATTCATTTTTCAAATGTCGATTTTTTAAATAGGATATATTTGTAATAAGCACACATCATTAACAATTTAATTTTTCCCTTAAATCAGCCATCTTCTACATTTGAATTACTTTAAGTGTCAGTAGGCGCCGCAGCCTCAGGCAACATTCCTGCCGCAGTTGATTACATTCCTCCTCTTGATCCTTGTCAAGATGAGGAATGTAAACACGGTGGAGGACTACTGAGGAAGACCTTGCTACACTTCAGGGGAGGGCAACAAACAGACAAACACCTGTTAAAGATTTCAGTCTTAACAAGTGGAAGGTAATGAAGGTGGGAAAGGGAGATAGGCAACGAAGAAAATCTATCCACAAGGCAAAGACAACGACAGGAATTGGAAAGAGAAGAAGACCTACCTTCCTTGTGGTAGAACGGGTGTAGTTATAACACTTGGGACAAACAGGGTAACAGCGGAAGCATATGGGAAGCAGGCAATATTTACAGCCTACGTTAGATCAATAGTGGAATATGCAGTACCGGCCTGGAATCCGTACCTAGTGAAGCACAAAACAAAAATAGAAAAGTGCAGACTTGGAACAAGATGAGTGTCAACCGAAATGGTTAAGCTACAAGGACATAATGAGGGAACTCAATCTCACAACCCTAGA